TGCATTTGAGATATCAAAAAAGTACTCCAGGGTGTTGTTCAGCATGGGGGTGAGTAGAAAATGAAGGCTAATCATGTTTTGGGTGTACTATTCCTTTAAACGACTCAGAGAACAAAGAATCCTCCAAAGCCTATTATGGCCATTCAAAACAAACCAGTGAAAGAATCAAGCAATAGCTTCCTGTAAAAGGACTTCACAGTGACTAAAACAAAAATTCCACTTTTGATGATAAGAGCTTGGTTGGAAAGGGAGTGTAGGGAGAACAGGGGTGGGGAGGGAAAAGAATGAGGAAAAGAGGAAGCGGTGGAGGGTAGTCCAGGGGAAAGGCAGGATAAAAGGGAAAATCCCTTCTCTTTCCCCTTTAGTGTGTTCTGGTATACAAACATTCCTGCAAAATGAACCAATCAACATGTGTGAGGGGAAAAGACAAGGACAAAAAGTTTATGGGCATGAACGCCCAAGGCCTTAGGCAGGGCAAAACAGACACAAACATGAAATGTATCAAGAAAGAGATAAAGGCCTCCTGCAATGCACACTGTGAAGCCAATCATGTTGCACAAATAATCACACGCTCTTACGTCAGTATTGTTGACAGTTATGCTGATAGCATCAGACAGTTTATCAGTTCTGGTTAGAAACGGAGGTCTCAAAAATATATCCGCAGCAACGGATCTGAAAAAACCAATAGTGAGAGAGTGAGGCTGACAGACAGAGAAGCACGCGCAGGAAGGGAAAGTCCCTGTAAACTACCCTCTGAACCTCAGCGCAAGGTATGTTGAGAAACAGCCCTAAGCATTGCAGGCAGGCGGGAGGGGGGGTCATGTGACTTCTCGGAACAAGGATACTTAAACACACAAACACATGGACGTTTTGTTTGTGCACACGCACACACACGTACACCCTTGAACGAAGAAAAAAGGCATGCCACGGACATGCTGTAAACTATGAAGAAGCATATAAGAATGACAGGGCATGTGCATATAGCTGCTAGCTGGCAATGCGAAGGAAGTGTCTTATCAAGCCCAACCAATTTCAATTGCATTACCATGCACAACAGTCTGCTGTCAAGCCCCTGCAGGGGATGAAACAAAACAAAAAACAACTGTGTGTTTTGGTTGGCAAACTGATAGCATGGCCGGCGTGGGAGTAACAAACAGCTGGCTCTAAACCATTCATGTGGAAGGCAAATCATGCACAGACACTTGCATTGCCGTCCAACAACGGTACCGATAGTAACACTCTGTCAAAAAGTTCCACATGCAAAACCACAGAAACCCAGGATTTTCATCAATATTGGAAAAAAGGCTGCATATCATTTCCTGTCTTTGGGAAGTTGCCTAATGCTGGAAACTGTGTTCAACTTTGTCAACTATGTTTTTTTTTTTCTTCTTTTGAAAGTAAACAGTTCCCTGGCCTCATTTAGATAAGTGTGTTCTCTCTGCCTGGTATTCAGTCAAAACCACAAAATCTGGTAGGCAAATGACTATGATGGGACCTGAGCCTGTGAATCTCCCCTTTGGTTATAATTGTATATAACACACTAAGTGTGTGTGTCTGTGTGTGTGTATGCCTCTGCAGGAGGTGTGTGTGAGAGTGCGTTGCGTGCAAGCATTTTCATACACAGGGTAGACACAGGATATCACAAAACCTATGCTGTCAAGCCTCAGCGATAAGGAAAAAGAACAGCCGATGATAGCACCGGCATTATTTCTGGTAAGTATGCCTGCAGCGTCCTGTGTGGTGTGAAACCCCAGCCCTGAGAACGACAGCTCTTTTACAGCTCAGGTGTTTTTTTTTTTCTTAGTGAAAGGATGAAAAAGAAACAGCTGGCACAGAGCAGATAAGGAAGGTAATGAGGTTAAAATGTGGTAAAAAGGGAGATGGAATGTGGAAGTATTGTCTTAATAGAGGTGTTTGGGAAAGGCCTGGATTGGGAAACACTCAAAGGCAATTCATTGAGCATATTCCAGTATTTTTTTAGGAGACATTATTTCAGAGGAAGTGCTTTTGATCTCTAACATTTTCGAGATGAGTGCAATGTCCAAAAACTTTCTTTTACAATGTCAATAAAAAGCCTCAACATACACTTAAGAATGCATGCAAACAACGGCACAGTGATTTTCCCTTTTTTTTTTTTTTACTTACGGCATACAGAGTTTAACATCTGCAAAGGTTATTGATAATTACATGTCAAAGGACATCGGATTACAATCCCTAGAAAAAAAATCTGTTCTTTTTGGGGAAAGTGATTGCTAAAACAATATGTGCATTAGGCATAAAAAAACAGGATATTGGAAAGCACACAAGGCCTTCCCAGAATGCTCATTACTTTGGTTTAGGTGGAGAGTTCAGGAAAGGTAAATTCCAATGCATAAGCCTCCGACACCAGGCCTAGAAAATAATTTAATAACACACCACAAGCAAAGGACGAAAAAAGAGCACTTCTTCTTTCAATCTCTATCCAGCAACTTTTCAACTTTTATTAGAAGATTTTATATACTGCATTATTCAGCAAGATGTGCAAATACTTCTTAATCTTTTTAAAGTATCAAAATTATGTTAATTTGAATTATAATGGTATACATGTATGAACAGAGATGCACATTATACATAAAGATATTCAACAGTAATGTTCACAGAATCAAAGTTGATGCTTCTGGGAGGACCAACTGCAAATTGCTTCTGCAAGTTTGAGGGACAAATCTAAGTCAAGTACACTCAAGTCTTTGTGGGGTATGTCAAAGTTTGAAAGACAAGTGTAACTCAAGTCCAAGACATTACCCACAAGTAAGTATCCTCCATCAACAGTGCAAGTCCAGTTAATACATTGTCCTAAAGCCTTAGGTAATATATGCAATGTATGATATATTTTAAGAACATTCAAGTCTGCATTTAAAAAGCTGATTTTATCTGTTGTGAATTTGGAAAAAAATAAACTTCACTTTTATTGTCATATTGTATACACAGAGTGTATACAAAACAAAATTTTGTTTTCAGAGAGTAAATGGACATTTCCATTCTATAAAGTGGAGCAATGATCAAATGAGTATGGGAGGAAAAAAAAACATGGTGCCAAAAATGCATGGATACAATGTGGAAGCTCAGAGCATTAATATATATGGTGCAAATATGTAGTATTTTTGGTTTGGTGTTATCAGTGTGATGCAGAGTCTGTGACATGATTAAGAGTTTTTCAACAGTTTAAAAGTCTGATGGTGGTGGGGGAGAAACTGTTGCAGAATATGTTGAATACCTGCATAGAATGCTCTGAAGCCTCTTTCCAGAGGACAGCAGGAGAACAGTCCATGGTGGGGGTGTGAGGGATCATTAGTTATGTTATGGGCCCCGGACACGCAGCGCTGGGATCAAATGTCTTTTATGGAGGAAAGAGGAGCCCTGACGACCGTCTCAGCTATTTTCACTATTCTTCTCACTCTCTTCCAGTCTGAGGCACTGCAGCCTCCACACAAAACAGTGAGACAGCTGGCCAAAACATTCTCTATGGTGCTTCTGTAGAAGGTTGTGAGGATGGGTGGGGGCAGATGGGCTCCCATCATCCTCCGCAGGAAGGACAAGCGCTTTTGTGCCCTTTTGACTAGTGAGGTGGTGTTTACAGTCCAAGTGAGGTTGTCTGTGATGTACACCCCCAGGAATTTGGTGCTGCTGACCACCTCTACTGCTGAGCAGTTGATGAGTAGTGGAGCGTAGTTAGGCCAATTCTTCCTGAAGTCGACAATAATCTTCTTTGTCTCCTCCGCATTGAGGATCAGGCTGTTATCTTTGCACCAGCCCAACAGCTACTCCACCTCCTCGCTGTAGTTCTGGTCGTTGTTATCTCTGATGAAATCCCACCACCATGGTGTCATCTGCAAACTTCACGATGCGGAAAACCTTGTACTAGTTATGGGGCTCTCTCTGCCAGGGTTCTTGCTCTGATTACTAGCTGCTCTAGTCTGAGCTCTAGAACGAGATATTCCCCGAACTGGGAGCATCTCTGGAGAATCTGCTAGACCCAAGGCTCTGTTAGGCATTCCAAGGTAAGTAAAGCACTGCCATTCATTCTGAAAAGTCCAGGTATGCCATGTTGAGTTGAAACAACCAGAAGATTCAATGACATAGTCCAAGTTTGCCCACTGTCTAAATTGTTTTTGCCTATCAGGGGAATTTCTTATGAAATGTCAGGTGAGCAAACACACCTGAAAGTGACACTTTTTTCACTGGTTACGTGTTACTGTAGGTATGAAAGCACCATAAGTGAAGTTTAAAGCTTTTGTTTTTTGTTACTGAAGCTTAACTCAAGGGAAATGACAGACAAAAGGAACCAACTCAAGAACAGAATGATTTTAAAATATGCAAATGTTATTTGTGGTATGAAGTGTGTCATTGTCATGAAAGCATTTTTTCTTACCTGTCGGAGATTGTTGTAAATATCAAGGCCTGTACGAGCCAACAGCAGCAGTTGGATAAGTTTGTGGACTATTGGCAATTCCCCTTGAACCACAGCTATATGGAGAGGACTGGAGGAGACACAAAAACAAAGAGTTTCACTTAACAAATGAGTTCTGTGTTTCTGACCCTTCAATGATTTAATCAAATTACTGGCATTGGTAGAGAAGTTGTGACAATGATATTGTTACTGCCGAATGTGCTACTTCCTTAAATGCAGTTTTCACTTTATTTCATGTCTATCAATTGAATTGGCTGGATGCTTCGTTTTATGTGGGTAAACTACTACACACAATTAATTGAAAATACAATGTATCTTTGTTTTACAATCTCTAATCAGAATAATCCAGCACATTGCAACTAAGAAGTTAAAAGGAATAAAGAAATGATAAAATAGGCTCCAGTTCTATTAATGAAAAGGCCTGTTACAGTCTTTATATCTCTATTCCCTACTCTTTAGAACATTGAAATTAAAAAATAATCTTTTTACAGAAAACATATATGGTTATGCTCATTGTTGAACATCTTTTTCATTTATTTGGACAAATTAAAATTTATCAGCGTTTGTCAGTTTTAGTGTTTGTAAGACGGAATAGACTGAAGAATACTACTAATTTATATTTAAAATCTGGGATAAATATGAGGGACTTCACTCGCCTTCGCAAGACAAGGTCAATTAATAAAGCAAAACAGACACTGTTGCTAAAAGATAACTCTCTGCATAATGATTTCAGACACTATAACTGATGCTAGTATCTTTTTCACAACTTTGGGATGAAAAGACTTGAAAAAAATGTTTATTTCTGTAGTCACAATATGTCTTGATGGCCTTTTAAAATCACCCAACACTTTCTTGTTGATAGGTGCTGAGCAGCACAGTAGAAATAAGTAGTAAGGACTTACATGTTCTTACAAGTAGCAAGGACTTACATGTTGTGTTCTCTCCTATTCTTGTATTCCTGTATTTTTTAAGGACTTTATTACCTAACATTTTTACCCAGGTAAAGTTAATCCCTGATAATTTTTGTGTTTTCAGTTTTATTCATTTTTTCTTCTTGTCCTGTTTCGCCAATGTAGTTCTGAGTCTTGATGTCTGGGAGATTGTTGTGAAGAAAGGTGCACTACAACTCTAGTCCAGTGGGTGGCTGTAACAGAAAAACCTAAGTATAAACACTCGTTAATGCCATTATCCATCTAACTTCTGTCCCCTTGCAACTGTGACAACTTGAAATCGTTAACATATAGCCCCCAATTTTGCCCAATTTTGATTCTTGATTGAGAAACTTTGTACCACTGATGAAGCCATTTTACCATTGCCCCAGGCATTTTGTTGAAGACGAAAAAAATAGTAATTTACAAACTTACTATCAAGATGTTTAGAATTATATACATCATATTATTACAAATACAACAGTGTAGCTTGCTGAAGTCTACTGGGATGTTAACTGCTTTTTGTGCTTTGTTCACGTGAGACTAAATTTGTTTTTCTTGCTTGTTTTGTTTATTTTCCAAGGATTAATACTCTATTTGGATTTGGACTGGTTTGCTTTGGATGAATGTGTGTAAAAAGACCTTATGCCAACAGTTATAGTGAGGCACTTGTGATACAATGGGTGTGTTTCATTTCTGAATGACCTGGGAAGCTTGCTAAAGAACATTGTATCATGACAAAATATATTGGATTGTAAAACTACACTAGAAATGGGTGTTTACTGGATGTTTCAGCAGGATAGTGATGCAAAACATACAGCTAAAACACAACTGACATTTTTTATCAGACATCAAATTAACCCTTTTCCATGGCCATTAAAGCTCATTCAAATACATTTTATAGAATTTTCTTTTGGGTGGACTGAAAGAAAGAGTGCATAAGAGGACCAGTGAGGAAAAGACACATGCTAAGACAATTTGCTATATGCATCAACTCATACAGGAAGATTAAGGTTATTTCGATGGTGAAATGTATTACCTTCTGACAGCAGCTGTAATAACTCATCTGATTTTATTCAAAAACTAAATAAATGTACTTTTTTAAGTTTCTTTTTTGTTTGTTTTATGTTTTCACCAGTGTTGTCAATGAATGGGGCTTAAATTCACATCAGTGGTCGATCTCTGATTTAATGCTAACTCAGCTTTGGATAAATCCAAATAACAACGTTAACATAAAAGACTAAAATGAGCATCAAAGTAGCAGACCAGCCATGCAACCTAGATGTACATGCCTGACTCACAGTGTTCTTATCAGACTGCCTTATCGTCATTAAAGGTAAACCACTACCTGTGGTCTATATGTGAGGCAAGACACAGGCCAGAGTTCAAGACAGGGAAGGTTCAGGAAACTGATGGGCTGATGGGGGAGGGGGGGCATGCAGTTGAAAAGCAGTGGAGATTTCTTTTTTTTTTTTTTTTTTTTACATTTTCTCTCTCAAACTATCAAAGGAAGCAGCTTCCAGTAAGAGCCAGATTTGTTCTATGTCACATCCTGTTGTCAATGAAAAAGGCTGCATTAGTTTTTTTTTTTTTTTTTACTGGTTTGCTTCAAGTGTTCTAAAATCTAGGCATGAAGCTGCATGGTTTCTTATAGGGGCTTTCTGCTGGTTTGCACTGTCAGCTTTATGGATTAGACATAACCAGTAAGACACTTTAAAAACAAAACAGGAAACTTCTTGGTAATAACTTAAAAGTACCTACACACAAACCAATGAGGTCATCAAAATGGTTTAATGATGAGAATTTAATTTGCACAACTTCCTGCCAATTATGTATTTCTATTACGTCCATCTTTCTGCCTCTTTGTTTTTCAAGTTTGAAAAATAGTAACACCCTTTGTCAAAACTGATGAATAATTATACTTTCACCTTTACATACACCAAAATACAATACATCAAATCATAAAATACCTCCAACATTATAAAAAAAAGTGGTGTTTATGTGAAACACTTGTTTCACTTGGACCCTAAATATAATCTAGGCCACCAATTGCCTTTAGAAACCTATCATTAAAAATACTTCGTTTGTGTGTGATTTGATCTCAGAATCATTACAGCTGTCCTGTGAAGGCCTCAGACTCAGGTGTTTCTTAAAGATCCTTAGAGAACAAACACCCTTATAAAGATTGTCTGACAGATCAAAAATAAAGTTGTGAAGAAATTTAAATCAAAACTTAAATCAAAGCTTTACAGATTACAAAGCGCTGTTCAATTAATCAAAAAACAGGAGGTCCAGCTTTGAGTTCACAATCAAAGTGTTACAGCAAACATGGGGAGGAGGATGTCTGATCACATAAGGCCACAACTGAACTTCTTTGACCTTCATGTGAAATGCCGTGTAGCAGCAAACTGTAGTAAGCGTGCCTATCACCGCGAACAAACTACTTTCACTCTGAAAAATTTGGAGTGAGTATTGCAAGGGTGTTGTGATATGATACGCATCACAATACTTGTGTCACGATATTACGATATCATAATATATTGCAAGATTCTACTGAGCTAATATTAAAATTAAATGTAAAGATAAAAAAGCAAGTGTTTAATATCTTCCGATGAACATATACATCATTCAATTATTTTGTTGTTTAGCCCTGAGGTTTGATTCAGTCTGCTTCTGCCACTATGACTTACTCAATTAAAGAAATGACGATGTGCCGCAAAGGGCTGAATGGTGCCATCTACTGGAGCGGCGTGCGGAAGTAGATAGCACATTTTTTAAGCAATATTTTCTTGCGATATTAGGAGCTGAAAGATCGCCAATTTTTCATGCGGGATATATACCGAGATATATTGCCAAATCAATTTCTCCCACACGATTTCTCCCACCTCCCTATAAAACATAGTAGTAGCAGTATTGTACTACTAGGGGAGTGTTGGCCCAGTTGTTAGAGCAGGGCGCTTAAGCTCTGAGAAGGCTGTGAGTAGGCCTACCCGGTTCGATCCCCACAGCCGGTACTCTGGGTTAGAGTCCTGCAACGGGTCGGGTACCCGTGGGTCCCCGACGGGTCACCCGCTAAAATGCTCTTTTGCGTGTGAAAAATACATAAATAAAAATAAACCGGTACGCGGGGTCGGGCGGATATTTTTTTAGTGCGGGCGGGTAGTTGGTGATTTTTTTTTTATGCGTGTGTGTTGTTATGGACATCAGAAATGTTATATTAATCAGGCACTGGGGTCACCCTTGTTGTAGCTTAAAGCCCTGCCGCCAGTGTGGGCTTCCTTCCAAAAAGGCCACAGTCAGTGCATACACGTCTGCTGCAGTGTTAATGGCGCTGTTCTGCAGTGCAACGTACTATAGCCTATTACTTGATGTGTTAACGGGTCGGGTTGCAGGTTAAATATCAACGGGTCGGGTTCGGATTTGAATTGAAGATATCCGCGGGTGACGGGTCGGGCTCGGTAGTCATGCTAACGGGTTCGGGTGGGTGCGGGTTGGTAAAACTCGACCCGTGCAGGACTCTACTCTGGGTTTCTGAGCAAGACCCTTAACCCCTGATTGCTTCCCAGGCACTGCACAATGGCAGCCCACTGCTCCCCAAGGTGATGGTTAAATGCAAAGAGTTAATTCCTCCATTGTAAGATCAATAAAGTTCTATTTCTAGTGCGGAAATACTTTTATTGGAACAGGAAAACCATTGTCAGAGTTGACACAATGTTTGGCTAAACAAGTCAATATTGAAAGTAAAGCTGTAAACGCCTTGCCTCTGGAGTAATGTAATGTCCAATCTTAAGCTATTTCACAAAGAGGAATGGGCGAAGCTTTAGCCTCTTTTTGCAATAATGGTTAAGGCATAGACAACAAGACTTGCAGCTGGAATGGCGAATCAAGGACCCTTCTACAAAGCTCTTGCAAAGACTCTGTGGAAGTACCAGAAAAGCATGCCACTTTCTAAATTTTAATTTGTTAAAAAAATTTGTAAATGCATGTGTTTTTTTCTTTTTAATTCAAAAATTTTTTTGCAAAAATTATTATGTGCTTTATGATCACCCATCATTAAAATGAAAATAAAATATCTTGAAGTTTTTCTTTGTAAAGTAGCAAAGGTGAGAAGGTTCAAGGGGTATATAAACTGCCTATGTGC